GTGTCATAAAGGATTCCATTGACGAGTTCTCTGGTGTGTCTGGCCTTCTTCCCAATCCGGCCAAGAGCGAGGCTTTCTATTGCAATATTGGTCCGATCACTAAGAGTGCTATCCAGTCGATCATCCGCTTCCCGGAGGGCTCTCTTCCTGTCCGTTACCTGGGTGTCCCCCCCATCACGACTCGCCTATTCCATCAGGACTGCAAGGGTCTTGTGGACAAAGTGAAGTCCAAACTCCATGATTGGAAAAACAAGTCCCTCTCTTTCGCCGGTAGACTTCAGCTCATCCTATCTGTCTTGTCTTCCATGCAAATTTACTGGGCTTCGATCTTTATGCTTCCTATTTCCATTTCTAAGGAGATTGAGCAACTTATGCGGGGATTCTTGTGGTTCCATGGCGAGCTCAAAAGAGGGAAAGCGAAGGTCTCTTGGAAGACTGTTTGCCTCCCGAAAACTCAAGGCGGTCTTGGAATTAAGAGCCTGTCCACCTGGAACTGTGCCCTCATGGCCTCTCATACTTGGAGAATCCTTACCATCAAGGATTCTTTATGGGTTAAATGGATCCACTCCTACAGGCTTAAAGAGCGTAACTTCTRGGATGTCCCCATCCGAAGTGATGTTGGTTGGGGATGGAGAAAGATCCTTGGCATGAGGGAAAAGATTAGAGACTGCATTGTCTCCCAGATTGGTAATRGCGCTTCCACGTCCGCCTGGTACGACAACTGGCACCCGGTGGGTCCCCTCTACCGGCATTTATCTTCCCGCAGTATCATTAATTCTAATCTCCCTCTTTCTGCTCCTGTGAAAGATATCATCTCTCAGGGTTTTTGGAACCTCCCTCTCCTGAGTGAAAGTCCCAACCCTTTAATCCGCAATTCTCCTCTTCCTGTCCTTTCCTCTAATACCCCTGATAAACTCCTYTGGAGAACCAGGGATGGTCGGCTCACGCCGTTCTCTGTTCACGAGGTCTGGCTCTCCCTCTGTCCTAATGAGCCGGATGTCTCCTGGCATCACTTGGACTGGTTTTCCCAGAATATTCCCAGACACGCGTTCATTCTGTGGGTTGCCCTCAAGCAGCGTCTCAAGACGCATGACAAGCTTCGGTTCTGGGAGGGCCACTCCAACCTGTCTTGTGCTTTCTGTCAAAACGGGCCTGATTCGCATTCTCATCTGTTCTTTGAATGCCCGTTTCCTAACCAGGTTTGGAATGGCTTAAAAGCCAAGCTTAACCTTTCTGATGTCCCGGATAATTGGGCTGATATTATTGGTGTTTTCCAGCAAGCTACCAAAGGAAAGACCGTCTGGTCTATTATTCGCAGATTAGTGCTAGCTGGAACTGTCTACCACCTGTGGCAGGAAAGGAATAATCGCATCTTCAAAAATAAAAGAAGATCGTATATTATGGTGGTTAAGACAATTACCGACGATGTCCGGTCCAGGCTCCTTAGCCTGACCCTCAAGCCTACTCCTAATGTTTCCCGGGCTCGGCTTGCCTGGAATCTCCCTTAGCTCTCTGTCTTTGTGTGCTGCTGTTTTTCTGGTCTTGTGAGCTCCTTTGCTTTCTCGGTTTCCTTGGTGCGGTCTAGGGTGTGCCTTTTTTAGGCCCCTTCTCTTGCTCTTGTGGTGTTCCCCGTTGTTTCCCGGTCTTGCCTTGGCTGGGCCCTTCCCTTGTGGTCGGTTTCTCTTTCTTTCTCTTTCTCCCCCTCTTCTTCTCTCTCCTTCTCTCCCCTCTTTTCTTGTCCTCCTTTCTTCTCTTTTCCCTCGGGGTGCCTTGGTTTCTCCTGGCTGGTAGTTGAGGTTTACCTCCTACCCGCGCGCTTCATTGTTTGGCTTTTATCTTTTTTTTCTTGATCTGGAGGGGTCTCCCCCCTCTCTATCAAAAAAAAAAACCCTAAACCCTAAACCCTAAACCCTAAACCCTAAACCCTAAACCCCATTTTGCATGAATTTTTTCTCTCTCTAGTTTCTCTCTCTAAAAAATTCTCTCTAGCTTTTGTGGTGGTTTTTCATTTTCTTGACTTTTTTCCTCCCATGGATGATCTCAAACTTGGTTTGGAAGAATCTATGCATAGGAAAACTAGGAAATCTCGTATGCCCAACAATCGTTTTAAGTTTTCCAACCCCCTTCCTAGGTCTCATCAAGGAGAGGTGGAAAACTTTGAGGAAAATTGTAAGCTAAGAAGGCTTGCAAAGGTGAATAATCGTCGGCTCGTTCCAAGCTCTTCTAGTTTCGTTCTTAATTCGGCTTGGAATGGAGACTTATGTTCCATTGCGCCACCCTCTTTGGCTGCTGATGCTGTGGAGTTTAATATAGGAAGGAAACATGATGCTTGTGCTAAAAAGGTTAGGGAAGAAGAAGAAGCTGGTTATGTTGATCTTCCTTCAATCATCTCTAAACCCAAGAAGAAAGAACGTTCATTCGTGATAGATCATGACAAAGGTTTTGGTGTTATGGGGGATTTTCGTTCCTATAATCCTGTAAGTGAAGGGCTCTCGGCTTCTCTATGCAAAAATCAAAGGGTGCTTTCTTCCAAGTTCAGGCTCACGGGGTCTTCTAACTCTGACCAGAGGCTTGATATCTTACCGGAGGCCTCACCGGATTTGCTCGATGCCCAAGAAAAGTCGACAGTTTTGCTGCCTCTATGCTCCTCGTCGTCTTGTTTTAGCAGGCCCGTAGCTATTTCTAAGACCTGTGTGGCTTTCTCTCATGGTGAAGCTGCTGCCGTCGACATGGAGGAAAAGTTTACCGGTCTACCGGAGAAGGGAAGTGAATCGGAGGACCACGGCTGTGAAGACCCAACGGTCTTTTTTCAAAATAGTCTTCAAAAGTCGCACCCTACCTTCTATTTTGGAGCCGTTACGTGTACCGAGAATAGGGAGGATTTGAATTTTTTCTTCAACGGTAGGCGACAAAATGATGATGGGGAAGAAGGTTTGGTGACCCGAGGGGGGCTGCAGCAGCAGCATGGTGAGGATGATGTCTTGCCGCAAGCTAGTATGGAGGGTAGTGTACCTTCTTGTCCTTTGGGGAGTGGGTCTCATTATAATAATATAAATGTTTTAAAGGCTGGTACTTTGGGGTCTCTTGACAGCTTGCAAGTGGGTGGGTCTCAAGGTGTTTTAAATAACTCTTTGGTTTCTGACCAGAATTTGGTTATGTTGAAGTCCAACGAGAAGGTTAGTCAAACTGATAAAGTTATGTGTGGTCTGAGTGATTGCATGGATGTTAATATGCTGTTGGGTTGCAATGACGATGTGGGCTCAAAATCTGGATTGGATTTGCTTGAGGAGGTTCCCCCTTCTATTGGATCTGCTAGCCCAAGTAATATTGATGATTTTATGTTACCTGGGCCTGTTTCTATTAAGCCCAAGAAGATGCTCATGGACCAGACTTCTATTCTCGGACCTAGACCTTCTGTTTTGTTTAATGCGAGCCCAAGTGGGAGCCGGGCTGTTTCTTTGGACTGTGCTGACCCAAAAGAATTTTCTTTACTTGGCCCAAAGCCTGCTGGCCCAAATTCTTTCCCTTCTATTATTTCTGCCCCTAATGTTTTAAAAAGCTGTCATTTCTCCCCCTCTAATGTTTCTGTTACTAATGCTATTTTACCCCACCCCCCTGCCTGCCCCCCCACCCAACCTTGCTCCCCCCCTTCTTCTCTCTAAGGAGATGCATCGTCCTCTTGCTGCTACTGCCGATCTCCCAGGTACGCATCCCTCTCATTTTTCTGGATTTGGTTCTTCTTCCCCCCTTTTTAACTCTGTTTCTAATTGCATGCCTCCCCCCTCCCCTTTAGATGCTAATCTTTGTTCTATTTCTTTTGATGCCCCGTCCGGTTTTACTAGGCCTAGTGCTCATGTCCCGTTATCAAATAATTATCAAAAAGATGGAATTCCCTCTAATATTCCTAAGAATATGTGGAATGGTAAAAATCCTAAAATTCTTCCTAACTCTTTTGCCCATGTGATTAGTGGTTCTAACAAGCATACAAATGAAAATTTTCATTTTATCCCTAATATTTGTGAAAATGTTGACTCTCCTATTGATATACCCGTTTCGGTTGTTAAAAAAAGTTGTGAAACGTATGCCAAAACGTTATGTGGTTACTTTGTTGGTAGAAGGCTCCCCTTCCCGGTTGTCCGTTTTTATGCCTCTAAATTATGGTCGCAATTTGGGATTGAAGATGTTCTTTTAAATGGCCATGGCATTTTTTTGTTTAAGTTCAATTCCGTTGATGGGCTTCAAAAAGTTATTGATAATGGGCCGTGGAGTTTTAAAAATATTCCTATTTTTATTCAAAAGTGGCGGCCAGGGCTCAATTTAAACTCCAATTTGCATGACAAAATTCCTCTTTGGGTTAGAATCCATGATATTCCTTATGATGCGTGGAATGATGAAGGCCTTAGTTATATCGCTAGTAAAATTGGCATTCCCTTAGCTATGGACTCTTGGACGGCTAACATGTGTAAATATGCTGCGGGTAAATCTGCTTTTGCTCGTGTTCTTCTTGAAGTCCCGGTTAGGAATAATTGGATTGATGAGGTAAAAGTGCGTATCCCGGACCCTGATACTTTGTCTACGACTTTATACTCTTTGAGGGTTGAATATGAATGGAAACCTCCGGTTTGCACACATTGCCATATTTTTGGACATTCGGATTCTGTCTGTATTCATATTATATCTCAAAGTGATAGTTCCGTGAAATCCTCCTCTGAGCAACTCAATCTTGGTAAGAAGACTTTAGTTGATAGTGAGGGTTTTCAAACCCGGATTCACAAGCAAAGCCAAAAGCCGAAGGCAACGACACCCATTTTGAGGAAGGAATACAAGAAAAAGGAGACCCGCCCCCCTACATTGACCGGGAAGCAAGCAAAAGAAAAACTGAAGGAAAAGATGACGGCCCCCCCTCGTCAAGAAGCTCCGAAGGATAGAAGACCGAACCCCCCCCAAGGGTTCTCCCCCCCATTTCCATCCCCCCCATGGGTTTAGCACCTAGCCATCCACCCTCCCCTCCCCGACCAACCATCCTACCCCGTCTTTCCCCCAAACCTTCTTTCCCACCCCCCTCCTCTCGGAAGCAATCCAAGGCTCCCATTTCTTCTTCTAACCGTTTCGCCGTTCTTTCTGACTCGTCTCTTCCTAGAGATCCTGAGTCCTCCTCCTCCTCCCTCCCCCCTCCTCTGCTCCTGGTGTAATCGAAGTTGACCCTCTTGATCAGGATGACCTTCTGGATGAGGATGAAATGATCGAGGTTGAGTCGGATGATGGCGACACCGCCCGATTTGTTGCCCGTGATCTTCCTATTCCCCAGGTTGATTCTCTGTCCCCTCAGGAGCCCGAGCAGATGGACTCCACCTCCTCCCCTGTTTCCCAATGTTGAGTGTTGCCTCTTGGAATACCCGTGGTCTCTGCAACCTCTCCCATCAGAGAGCTGTTAGAAATCTCGTTCGGGAATCCAATCTTAATATTTGTGCTGCTCTTGAGTCGCGTGCTTCTGTGTCTTCTCTTCCTTCTATCTGTGAGCGTGTTTTTGGGTCTTGGACCTGGGCTTCTAATGGCTCCCTTTGCCTTAGAGGAACTCGTATCATTGTTGCTTGGAACCCCGTCCATGTCGACATGATGCTTTTAAATGCTACCGATCAGGTGATGCATTTTCAGGTTAAGATTCGTGATTCCTCTAAGATTCTTTTTCTTTCGGTTGTTTATGCGGATAATTACCATATCGCCCGTCGCCAGTTATGGGCTTCTCTTAAGGGCCATAAACATGTCGTTAAGGACACCCCATGGTTTATCATGGGAGATTTCAATGTTGCCCTTGACCCTAAGGACATCTCTTCTGGCATCTCGGGCCCTAATCGTGGTATGGATGATTTTCTTCAATGTGTCCGACACCTTGAGGTGGAGGATGTCAATTACAAGGGTCTGTTCTTTACCTGGTCTAAAAACCCCAATGGTACGGGAGGTCTTCTTAAAAAGATTGACCGTGTCTTAGGGAATTCCCATTCCCTTGCTCACTTCCCTTCGGCTTCTGTCATATTTCTTCCCTACCGGTCCTCGGACCATTGCCCTGCGGTTCTCACCCTTCCCTCCCGGTCCCCTTGGAAGCCTAAACCTTTCAAATTCCCTAATTTTCTTACTCATAAAGAGGCTTTCTTATCTGTCGTTGCCTCGAGTTGGAGCCCTGACCTGTCTGGTTATGAGATGTATAAGATTTTCCTAAACCTTAAAAATCTCAAAGGCCCTATCCGTAAGCTCCTCAAAGATCAGGGTAACCTGTTCTCTAATGTCTCTAGAATCCGGCTTGAGCTCGACAGGGTCCAGATTGCCCTTGATAGGGACCCTGAAAACGTGGACCTCCGAGAGGAGCACTGTGGGTATTTATCTGCCTAT